GCTGCAGAAAAACCGTGACCGGCCTTATTGTGGCCAACAGAGATATGTATACATATGCTATTATATTATGACACGTTGACTTATATTTGCATTTATATAACTTGAAAAATTCAAGCTATCTATGTATACGGCTTTACAAGTTAAAAAGTATAAAACCTCCATGTATATATGTGTGTGTGTGTGTGTGTGTAAATACTAGCCAACATGCATTGCATGTGCATGCATGTATAAAACTCATGCGGTTTCAAAATACAGTCCATGCACCATTCTAGTATAGTTCGGTAGTTCCTCCAATCCAGTGTTTACAGATTTCCCATATAACTACAGAGTATAAATATTGTAACTATATATATATTTTACAAGCATATACATAACACGTGATATGTTGTTCACCATGCACCATAGTGATCATACATGCAGTATGACTATCAATGATAACATTGTGGCAATTATATCAAGAGCAATAGACAGTTCAATCTGCATGAAGCCAATCCAAAGGTTATCATTGTTCCCAGAGAGAGCATCATACACCAACTACGCATTTCGTTAAATTAAACTGTTTCTATTAGGATAGTATTGCTATTATACAGATTCATGCTATGATGGACACAAAAAAAATTGAAGAAACAAGATTATTAAAACTATTAATTTAAAAAGGGATCTTCAAAAATATGCAGAAACAAGATAGGTAGTTTATGGTTAAAATGCAATTGCAAAAAAATAAACAAACAAGCTTAGGGTTTGAGACACAGTGTTGACATTATTTCTTCAAGCTACAAATCCCTATTTTGACCCATGTCTAAAAGCTGTAATATTTAGGAGAGTCAAAATATGGACTTGTAACTTTAGGAGATAATGTCAACACTACGTCTCAAACCTTAAGTTTGTTTGTTTACTTTTCTGCGATTGCATTTTCACTTTAAGTTACCTATCTTGCTTCTGTAATTTTTTGAAGATCCCTAATCCACCTTTTTAAGTTAACAATTTTTAATAATATTATTTATAAAGGTCTCTGTAAACGGCTCTTTTGCTGTCTAAAGCCAAACTTTACAAAATCTAATTTGTTTTATAACACGTGTGTTATCGTGTACAGACGACTATGCATAGTTTTGGTATATAAGTCACCTGCATTATCATTTATTTAGATTCACTGATGATAAAGCTCGGCGGTAAGCTTAAGGGCTTATAACATTAGAAATCTGTGTTCGATATCCGTGGCGGGCACAGTGCATATAGCCCATTGTGTAGTATTACTCGCTTAAATACCACCACCAACAACAACAACAAAAAAACGCTGTTGATAAGATATCACACAAAAAGGAAAAAATCTTAGGATAATTATTAACAAATAAGTCTCCAAAATACATTGTAGAGACTTAAATATTTCGTATAGTGTCCAAACTAGATTTTAGAAACCATTACCAAGTATTCGAAACGTAGTGATGATCCTAAGAAATTTTATATTATATTCCATTTGGTAATGTTCCAATAAACTAAAATATACCTTAGAGAATGTCAGTAACGAAGACCCTATTTTTAATTTAATACATAATATGTTTTAAATTGATGATTAACATCTGTGCACCATGTTTAGTATTATAAATGTGGGTCTAATTTTAGCATCTCTACATCATGGTTAACCCTGCCGTCCTTATTTTGAGGTGTGTGTTAAGGTCAGAAACATAAATCTTAATGCAGCTACAATTAGATTCATTAGTGAATCTGTTCTTCGGACAATAATGTAATAACACCCTCTCTCAAGTTGCATATAAATATGCGAATGGCTATCATTTTTTCTGTTTGTGTGATTGTGGTATTCTCAGGTGTACTGATTTCCCTCAAGTAATTGAGTAGGATCCGCAGAACAACAAGAGTAACGACAGATTAGATTATATAAAATCAATATGTATTCCCCGAGTGTTGACTGAGGTGTGGGAAAAGGAATAAACTGGACACGAAGAAAATTAAGTGAAACAGTCCCTTTCCAAAAACATACATAACACTCAAAATAAATATATTTACTTAAAATAGCACATTTTACTAGAGAGAGAGCTGTCAATATTCTTAAAGTAGCTCGCTGGTGCTGAAAAGTAAAAATTGACATAAAATTTGTTTCCTTTTACGGAATGACGTTCTTTTTATCACCCAAACAGGTTTTGTTAATATCTGTGCGCTTAACTACCAACCAACAAGCCATATTCCTTGTATCTCTTGGTGTGCATTATATGTACTGCTTTCTTATACAACTGAAACATGTCACCAGCAGCTCATATAATCCAAGTCTAGTATCAGTATTGATATACATCAAAGGAAACCCTGTCTGACCGAGTGGAACAAGTTTAATATAACATGGTTTTAACATATCTATGGTAACAACAAATATAAACTAAAGGGTAACATTGCAAAGTGACTGTAAAGAAAAAGAGTAAAAACAGCTTATTTATTCTGTAACAGTAGGTTCACTGCTTGGAAATGGGTCTGACGGATCGCCAGTATCAAGTTCAGACCTGGAAACGACTTGAACTTGTTCGACAAACTGATAAAAATGGCTGTATAAATATGAATGGAAACAATAACTTCTAAGCTTATAATAACCTGTATATCTAGACATAACATTGCCAACTTTCTTGTCCCGGCATGGCTAGGTGGTTAGGTCGCTCGACTCGCAATCTGAGGGTCGCGGGTTCGAATCCCCTTTCCCACCAAACATGCTCGCCCTTTCAGCTGTGGGAGCGTTG